TTAGGTATGCCCATGCTGTGTACATGAAAATTCTTATTAAAACTGTCATTTTATTAGGATACACGCATAACATGAGTATGCTTACAATTATGCCCCCAAAACACATTATACCCACTTCTCCCAGGCTTTCAAGGGAAATAAATTAAGTAAATTATCAGATTTTCTGACTTGCTAAGATATTTTTGGAATCCCTGAAATGCCAAGACAGTAGAAACACCCACAAAATGCAATGTGTGAAAGTAGACACCTTTGACAAGAGATATGGGGAGTTTTTTGAAGATTTAGTTTTCATTACAAAGCTTTATGACATATTCCTAACACAAATATAACAAGAATGAAAGACTCAAATCAAATGATAAAAATGCTGCCAACATCCCAAAACATTGTAGAAGAAAATACAACAAAAAAAAAAAACCCTGAGACTTTTGAGGCAGAAGCGTGCTTGAAATGTATCTAAAAGGCAACATGCTAATTTTTATTGTAGAAAAAAAGACACAACCACAGGAGATCAAATATCACCAGAAGTAAAATAACCACATGGCTTGTTACACAATATAAATGTACATAAAAACTACAGTATTAAATATAACCCACCCTATTCAATTTCACCCAATCGATGCCTGAGATGCTATGACAAGATCAATGTGGGTGAAGACTTCAAATTAATCCCAACATGTTTCAGAAAAATATCCTTCAGGGGAGGGGTATGGGTATATCTAGAATGTAACATATCACAAATTAGTCATAAGAAGTACATATATTGATCAAGTATGAAACAGTATATATGTGCAAAAATAGGTTGTAGGTGCTTACTTACATTTCAGTGTATATACATAAATTGTACAAAGGATTCTCAATAGATGAGGCTGCTATTCATCCAGATGTACTGGGGTCAGAACACAGGGCCCCTAAGGAACACACCAAGAGTCACAAGGACCTCCTAATTACCCAACAGGGGCACAAAGATATCTACAATATATATCAAAAAGAACGTATGAAAGTAGAGGGCATAGAGGACTATATTATAGGGTCAACTTGTTAATACAAACACTTCTTACCAGTCCCTTGATTGTGAGACAACGTTTGAAATGAAGTTGAAACAATCCAATCAGTAAAGTCAGCTAGTATGATAAATCTGCTAAGGTCAGGGCCATTCAGCTAAGATGTCCCCAGGATGAAGTATTGGGACCGGCCAACCCTCCAAACACCGCATCGTGGCCGTATGCAAATCAAGGGATGTTCTCTGGTGTCCATGACATGAGGCCCCACCCCCCAGCTGGATTACATCAAGACGTCAGTGTCCATCGACGAGATGACATCATGTGTCACCATGCTGCTGACATGCACAACAGGGCTGCAGCATCCTGAAATAGGGATGCCATGATGGAAAAATGTATGTAAGCCAACAGGCCCTCAAAGGAGTTGGGAAGCCCTACAGATTGGCTACACAAAAAAATAAAGCTGTGCCCATTATACTGGCGAGGGAAGCCTTCACGTGCCAGGTGGCAGATAGTTTGGCTAGAAGGGGGGTCTGCTAGAGTCCCCTAATATTATAGGTCTGCCTGGGGTTTTTTTTTGTGGTTTTGTAAAATTTTGGAAGGGCATAAAATGTTGCCACTCATGGGAAAGTTGTTCGAATGTATTGCCATGTGACTTTATTAATGATATTACTGTAATATGCGCAATCTACTAAAAGGTAAAATTCCTTATTGAAAGTATCCACCAATGGCTTGGGTATTGGGCGATACCAATGAGTATTAGCTAGTATCTTATTACACATGTTAACATATTTGTCGTTATCCATCCAGACAACGTTACATCCCTTATCAGAGGGTTTACTAGTAATGATATGATCATTGGCCAGAGATGTTAGCGCTATTTTTTCACCCTTGCTTAGATTACTATTAGTAATCTTAGATGTCCTAAGATTATGGATTTCTTTACATATCATTTTCAAAAAACTTGCCACATTGTGGTTATAACTGGGAGGAGGGAAAAGACTGGACTTTCTCTTAACGGTGTGAATAGGTGTATTGGACATAGAAGTTCCAAATTGTTCATCTGGAGATTCCAGGAATTTTTCAATGTCAATTTTGTCAATCAAATCTATAGATTTATTTTCCTCGAGTAATGAGATTAGATGATCCAAGGCTTGGAGATCATCCTTGGAGCATAAAGAGTCAAAAGAGGACTGTTTTATGGCATATACACTTCGCAGGAGTAAATCCCAGGCAAATATGTGCAAATCTCCGGTGACCTCAAATTTGTACAGGCGCTGATCTGGGCAAAAAGTGAGGACCTTTGACAATGTACTGATTTCATCTTGTGACAGTTTGTGATAAAAAAAGATTAATAATGTTTAATGAGATTTGTTTTTGTTGGTTTTTGTGCTCTTTTTTTGCAAACATTTTTATCTTCCCTTGATGTATTGCTGTATTGCCACGCACCTGTCCTAAAAAAGTAATTGCCTGTGCTTGAGAGGAAGATTACATGGTTCCCATTTTCATATTAGACATGGCTGTGATGTGAGGATATCCATTGACAGAACTGAAATCCATATCACCGCATGATGTTGGGACCCAGTCCCATACAGATTATCTGAATGTGCAGAACAGGAATGATCCAAATTAGGAGAATTATCGTGTAACCCACCACCATGTCAATGGCATTTGTCAACTATTGTCTTTGTACTGATTAGAAGAAGACGGAGAAGAAAAAGAAGAAACAGATGAATACAAGGAAGGTTCAAGTACAGTACAGTGGAATTATTCAATGCTCTAAATGTATTGCTATATTGTTTTTTTATGTTTTGTACATGATGCCATCTATAGGCCTTACCTTTTTGGATTTGGTTTTAAATTTTTTGTCTTCTTCTATAAGTATATCTTTATTGAACTTCTCCAAATGCTGTTTGTGTCTGGTCTCAGAGGTCCCAGAAGATTGCCGGACCAATGAGAATGTGCAGCACGACTCGTGCATGCGCAGTGAGAACCCAGCTGTGAAGCCGCAAGCTGTCACAGCCTGGTGCCCACAGTTGTGATGCCAGGGAGAGAAAAGGCAGAGAAGGGACAGTGTGGGTGAGCACATCACTGGACCCTGGGACAGGTAAAAGTGTGTTTATTAAAAGTCAGCAGCTACAGTTTTTGTAGCTGCTGATTTTTAATAAACACAGAACTGACTGGAGCTTCGCTTTAAGTTGTTTCTGATATTTTTTACTGTGAAGAGACATCATGGTATCAGAACATTGCTTAAGATTGATTTCCCATGCAGATTTAAATTCCAGATCAATATTCGTAAATGGTGGTGTGAACCTCCTGCGCTTAGACTGATTTTAAATGATATTATTAATAGCGAAAGGCTGCCAACATTACATCATGTATCCAATGATCCTTAGAAATAAATGTGAAACAAAATGTAGCGCTAATCGCTTGATGTAAATCAATCAATGTGACGTAGTGACGTACTTCCGGCGTGGCGGCCATTTTGGTATACCTCTTTGGCACTGTGTACACCCATGCAGATGACATCCTAAAGCATGCGGTGATGTAAGTGCGCATTCTATTATACCATCTTTGTGGCAATAAACATATTACACAATGGAAGCTTGTGTTTTATGTTACATGTGAGTGGTTAGAGCAGTATGTGATCCTGCCTGGAGAAGGAGCCAGTATTGGAGTTCTGATCCCCAGAGGGAGATCTGCATATAGTGGGAGCTGTCGTTTGGAGGATCTGTGAGAGGGATCCTTTCAAAACGCTGTGACTCGCAAGGGTCGAGTCTGGAAGGTGAGAGGCTAATCTAGCCGGTGATCGGATGGTTTTGTGTATAGTTATCAAACCACGTTTGAACACGGATATCAGCACGAGTTACTTTGTTCACTGGAGTGTGATTAAAAAGATTGGACTCTTAAAACGCATGAAAATTCATTATTGTGTGTATATTATGTCACTGATTAGAGTTCACTTTTGCACATGAGGTTGTTTTACCCACTTTATGGGATTTGTGTAGATATATATATATTAGTGCACATTGTGTGTTTTGTGTATATTTGTTTGAGTATGCACTATTATGTTAGTCAATAAGACTGGTTTTTCACCATCACTATAGGAATTTTTTGTGTTTTTGTAAGCACGAAATTATTTATAGTAGTAAGTTTATTCACTTTTAAGTAAGGGAATTTTATTTGCACATTGATTGATTTACATCAAGCGATTAGCGCTACATTTTGTTTCACATTTAATATTCTTAAATGGTTCTTGGTGTGTTGTTTGGGGGCCCCATGGCTGACCCCGATACATCTGGATGAATAGCAGCCCCATCTATTGAAAATCCTTTGTACAATTCATGTATATACTTTGGAAGTAAGTAAGCTCCTACAACTTTTTTTTGCACATATGTACTGTTTTATACTTGATCTATATATACTTCTCTTTATGACTAATTTGTGATCTGTTACATTCTAGACATACCCATACTCCTCCCCTGAAGAAGGATATATTTCTGAAATATGTTGGGATTAATTTGAAGTCTTCACCCACATTGTTCTTGTCATACTATCTCAGGCATCGATTGGGTGCAATTGATTAGGATGGGTTATATTCTTTACTGTATTTTTCTGCATAAGTACCGGTATATTGTGTAACAAGCCATGTGGCTCTTTTACTTCTGGAGATATATGGTCTTCCATGATTTTTTGTTTTTTTTTTCTGCAATAAAAATTGGACCGTTGCCTTTTAAATAAATTTCAAGTGTGGTTCTGCCTCAAAAATCACAGGGGGTTTCTTTTTTTGTATTTTATTTCTAACAAAAAGAATGTGTATACTTAGAACTACACCTCAAAACACTTTCTACTCCTCCTGAATATAGGGATACCACATATGTGATACTTTTTCAATGTTTGTCCTGGTTATATACCTGACATTGATCTTGTATTTAAAAAAAAATAACAACATTGAATTTAAAATAATACTGTAGTTGGGAGTGATATCGATAGAAGCAGTCCCTTTAACCACCTCCTTTCCGGCCGTTGTATATAAATGGCCGGACGGTGGTGTGACGATCGCGGCGTCAGACCCCAGCCCTTCTCACCAAACTCGTGACTGAAGGACTAGCCAATCTAAAACCGCGTTGTCACGTGCGTAACAATGCAACTCCCAGCTGCACTCTGCACAAAGATTTTCCAGCTAATGGACCACAATCTGTGTATCTGCAGCCTGAGAGCGATTGTCACTGGGTCAGGTTAATTACGCAATTATACCTTCACACTGCCACCACCTCCTTTTTGTTGTACAGAGAAAGAGGAAACTCAGCAATATCAGCAATAACACTATGATGTTTGCATAAGCGTCGGTATACCACTGTCACAGCAGGCAGGGATATACCGAAGTTTAAAACACACACACAGTAGCGCTCTTCAGAGTCAGGGGTTCTTAGTTTGCATTAATGAGCTTTAGAAACAGTTCAACACTTTCAGAAAGTAAGATTGACTAAAAGGTCAAAAGGGCTTTTATCTCCCGAAGTTGGTTCCGATGTTAAAAGGGAGCTTCTTCAACTTAGCTCAACTCAGCTTAGCTTAGCTCCAAGCATAACAGCCTTTTTCTAGGAACTCAGCAGAGTATCTCCTTAAAGCAGAGAACCAATTGCCTCATTTGGGGAGCGGTGTTGTAGGCAGGGAGCTCAGGCTATGACCAAATCCCTCACAAATTATATTATGGTCAATAACATTTCCTAGGTACATGTAACATTCTATCCACAGGTAAATTAATATGCAGACGCATCTGCTGAACGTCTAGATATGAAATATGACATACCTGGGGGGATGGTTGAGGAGATATAATTTTTCTGCTCTCCTGTAGATGTCAGATAGGGGATGTAATATATCATATGACCTGTATTAATGTGACCGGTCTGAATATATGCCTGGTTTTTATGTACGTCTTTCATATTCCAAGATAGGAAATCATAGGGGAAAATGGATTTTTGAATGTGATGTATGCTTTATGGCTTACCTGGAATGTCTTGAAGCTCAGTGAGGGACTTGGTTTATGCCTTTACGATATCCCGTATTGAGAAGTTAACAGAGATCTAGGCACCAGCTCGGTTGGAATTTTATAGCCCTGGAGCTCTCCGGCTGAGCCTTGACTTGCCTGTGACCTCTGCCTTATTCAGACCACATGTCACTCAACAGAGAGGGAGGGGGGATGTGGAGGAGCTGATTTGGGAGTAGAAAATTACAGAAGATGGAGACCTTTGCCAAAATGGAGGTTCGCACCCATTTCTGCTGGAGCAGGTGGCTGTTTATAAACGGCCTCCCCGCCCCCTGCTTGTGCGCGCTCCTCCGGACACAGTGGAACACCGATCGTCATACGGGACCTCTGTGTGAGGTCCCGATCATGTGATCACTGATTGGCCAATCAGTGATCACATGCAGAGTATTAAGTAAGATGTCAGTTCTGACATCATTGCTTACTATGTGTGCAATCTGTGAATGATCACAGATGTCACATGGTACAAGGCTATTCACAACAGCCTTGTACCATGTGACAAGCTGTGACCAATCACAGCTCATACAGTAGTTCTCAATGGCTGCAAGAATGCAAGAGAAGAGAATGAGAGAAGGAGAAATGATTGCTTTTACAGCCTTTATGGGTGTAAAAGCAATCCGTGTAAAAAAAAAAAAATCTTCATCACCCCCCACAAGTAGTACAGTGTCACCATGGTGACACTGTACTGCTAGGGTGACAGTATGTAAAAAAAACCCATAAATAATAATATAAAAAAAAAAATGTAAAAAAGAATTATAATTTTTGGTTATAAACTAATTTGGGTTTTTACTAAAAAGATAACTGAATAAATTTTGGCCAATAGTTATTATGAAATATTATCTATTTGCAAGATTTTAAAAGAAAAACACTTTTTTTCAAAATTTTTGGACTTTTTTATTCATATAGCAAAAAAAAAATAACCCAGTGGTGAATAAATACCACCAAAATAAAGCTTTATCTGTCTCAAAAAAATGCTAAAAAATTCATATGGGTACAGTGTTGCATGACTGTGCAATTGTCATTCAAAGTGGGATGGTGCTGAAAGCTGAAAATTGGCTTGGACAGGAAGGGGGTAAAACTGTCTGGACTTGAAGTGGTTAAGCTGGCCATACACGTGTAGATTTTGGGACGAGAATATTCATATGGAAATTCTTTTAACATTTGGGGAATCGATGAATGTTGTTCGAAAATTGTCTTTTGCTTTTAACGTTTGCGTTTAAAATGAATGTAATATCTGAACGATAACCACATATACTGGCCGAAAATGTGTTTGATCGAGAAAAGATTTCGTTCCCGTTCCTTCGAATTTTCCCATCACTGCAGTTGAAAACAAACATCGATTTGACCCCACTAACAATTTGAAAATCAAACAAATATTCTTGAAATGAAAATTCTTGAATGAAAATCTATACGTGTATGGCCAGCTTTAGGCAGAGGTCAGGTTGTGATGGACAGTAGGGACAATAATAATGTGTGTTGCACCTTATTCTAAGTTTAGTGAATACACACCACTTCTTTTGGGGTTTCCTTTGAGTTTGTATAGGAGGAAGATCAGAGAAGTGCCTCTCACCAGCAAACACAAATGCTCCTGTGCTTGGGGATGGACTCGATGCTACAACCACATTAAGAATGTCCTGGAACATGCACACCTTGCTGCCCTCAAATGGACCGGGGGAATCCAAATATACTGAATGGGGAAAGAACAAAAAGAGGGCGCACAGGCCTAGTGCATTACCATAAAAAATGTTTAATAAAAAATAATAAAGTAGGTGTTGTACTCACAAACGACAATATAGTCAAGGCACATATTAAAAGAACAGCTGGATCAACACCGCGCTGAGTAACAGTCCGCAATAGGGAGTTTAGACATCCAAAAGTCTGACGCATTTCGAGGACTTGCCTCTTCCTCAGAGCCGCTCAGTGCTTCTCACCTACTGACTGTGTCTGAATCAAGCCTTTCAGGTTCAGGGCCTTCCTGGTAAAGTATGACTATGATGATCTATTTTTGAAATCTCTTGATGATCTCTTCTGGAAGATTTATAAATTACATGTAAAGCGCATGTGCAAGTGAAATAAATAGATGGATACTTATGTTGTAACTGTACTTAGATCTTTGGGTTGCTAGGCAGGGCTTCATCATCTGATCATTTAAATCTACACTTCTTATACTGTATGTAGATTATACTCCTGAATGCATGTTTTTCAGCCAGATCATTTTTTTCACACAAATAGAGCTTTTTTTGGAGGTATTTAGTCACTACTGGGTTTTTTATTTTTTGCTAAATAAACAAAAAAAGGATGAACATTTTGAAAAAAAAACGTGTTTTTCTTAGTTTCTTTTCTAAAATTTTGAAAATAAATAATCTTTCTTCATAAATGTAGGCCAAAATGTATTCTGCTAGATTTTGTGGGTGAAAATAACCCAAATCCGTGTTTATTATTTAGTCTGTAGGAAAGTTATAGAATCCACAACCTATGGTATATATTTGAAAATCGAACAATCCCCATCCAACCTCATTTCCCGAGGGCCAAAATGTCAGGAGAGTACAAATATCCCCCAAATGACCCTTTTTGCAAAGTAGGAAGTCCAAGGTATTTAGTTAGAGGCATGGTGAGTTTTTTGGAAGTTGTAATTTTATAAATTGATATTTTGAGATCAGGTTGGTGATATAGCTGGGGGCCGAGTTGTGGATGGCTTTGCAAGTTGTTAGTATTTTTAATTTTATTCTTTGGGCGAGTGGAAGCTAGTGGAGGGATTGGCAGAGAGGGGTAGCAGACACTGAATGGTTGGTAAGGTGGATGATCCTGACAGCAACATTCATGATAGACTGGGGGGGGATAGCCTATGTAAAGGTAAGCCAATGAGGAAGGAGTTGCAGTAGTCAAGGCTAGAGATAACCAGGGAGTGAATTATAAGCTTTTTGGTATCATTGCTTAAAAAGGGGCATATTCTGGAGATGTTGCAGTGGTTGAGGTCATTATTCTGGAAGTCTGAGGTTGGCCATTTTACTAGTTTTTTTCAGATGATTTGAGTCTTTTTTGATATTACACCATGATAGGTTATGTTTTCTGTTTTTTTTCTGCTGAGTGGGCCATATCCCGAGACAGTGGATGATATATTTGTGGTTTACCTTCCTGGTAAAGTGCAGGGTGTTCTGACCCAGGCTTCTGGGAAGACTTGTCTTGACCTTACCTTATAGTGGGCTAAGGTTTGAGGTAGGTGGTAGGAGTGAGAGGTGGTGGCACACAGCTTATGCTGAAGCATGCGTGATGTACATGCATGTGATATTTTTTTGAAGCACATTCTTTAAGAAAATTTGCTACAAGTGGGACCATTGCTTTTTAGGGAGTTTGTATTCAGATTTATTGCAGTGGGCCATGATTCTGTTAATTTATTTATCCTTTTTATTATTTACCAATTTTATCACTGCTGTGTATATTTGTAACGATTGCATTTTTGCACATGTACTGTATATTTGTATGGTCTTGTTGTGCAGCACTTTTTTGTATTATGGTCCTACATATGCATTCGCCTTTGCATTTTCTTTTTACATTTTATTATTTATTTTACATTTTTTAAATTATATTTTTAATACATTTATATTATAGATACAAAAATTTTCCACACTTTAATATCATACAATCCCCATAACACATTTTACATAATCCCATCCCCACCCTCCAACCTCTCCCCCAGTTGGTCACCTCCTAATTTAAACCTCTTCTTCCTGTGCCCCTATTTCATTCCTGAGATAATTTTATCTCACTCCACTCTCCTACCCTACCTATCACCGACTAGAAAAAAATGTCCTTCCTATCTTGTCTTAACCCTTCCTTTACACTCAAGTCAATTCTAAATATCTACTGGATGTTTTAAAATCCGTCCATCTGTCCCAAGTTTTCTTTAATTTTTCAGTTTTATCCTCTCCAATATGATATAGTTCCTCCATCCTGTATATAAACTCCACTCTAATTATCCAATCCTTAATTTTTGAGGTTTCCTGAACCTGCCAGAATTTAGGTGTCAATCCTTTCACAGCATTTATTAAGTCAAATGTCATTGTGTTCTTCTATTATTTCACTGTAAGATCAGTATTATGAAATAAGCAAACCCAGGGATCCTTCAGTACACTAATCCCCATTATCTCCTGTATTTGTTGTATAATTCCCTGGCAAAATTGCTGTATTTTGGGACAATCCGACCATATATGTGCCATTGTTCCTTTCTTCCCACACCCCCTCCAACATAAAGGTGAATTCTCTGGTCATTGATTATGAGCCACACTGGGTGTAAGATATCACCATACTAAACATTTATAGTTAATTTCTACTGTATTCTTATCCACCGCCCACGTGTATTAAATTAGATATTTTCTTTTTTTCTTGTTCATTTAATTTTGTTCTTAATTCCTTTTCCCACTTTTCCAAAAATGGTGGAGAAACAGATCCAGATATACCAGCAAGAGTCTTATATATGTGAGAGGTACCATTTTTTCGCATTGTATCCATACTGAAAAATTGTTCAATTGGATACATGTCTTCCACCGTCCTTAGTGGCTGCGGGAGCACTGTAAAAAAATGTCTTAATTGATAATAACACCATTCATCTAACATAAAAATTATTTCCTTCTTATTTTTTAAATCTATAAAAGTGCACAATTCACCTTTATCAGTGATGTCTTTTAAACGCGCGTTTCTATCTTTTATCCATTTACCTGCAATATTCTCTTTCCCTGGAGGGAAGAGTTCTGTTCCCCCCAACGGTATTAACAGTGAATTATACTCCCACCCCCTTTGTTTATGAATTCTATCCCATATCCTAAAAACATTTCATGTTTATGTGCTTGTTAGAGCTTTCTAAATTGTTGTGGAAGCCAAATAGTCTTGTCTAACTGTGACTCACTCAGTGTACTTTCCATCAGGTTCCCTCAACCTTCTCATTAGGTTTTTTTCCTGGTCTATTCCCCCACTGATACCTTTCTTTTGCTACCTTGTTAAAAACTCTTCTCATTTCCTGTTCCATTAAATCCTTTTTCTCTTTCTTGAGTTATCTTCTGTTGTATCTCTATTTTCTCCTTGTGTAGTTGTTCTAAAACATGTAATTCTTCAGTTAATAATCTTATTTTCTTACTTCATTTTTTTTATTTTTTTCATCCCCCATTGAGATCAGGATTCCCCTAATGTAAGTATTATGCGCTTCCCAGATTGTAGCCATGGAAACCTTATCTGTCTCATTAAGTGTAACATATATTGCTCTAATTCCTACTTTATTCTTTTCTCCATCTCCACATCCTGTATAAGCGCCACGTTTAATCTCCACATACTACTTCTATTCCATTCCCCTTCCAACCTTAATCTCATTATGACAGGTGTGTGATCTGATAGTGACATTACCTCAATTTTGGAAAGACTCTAAAAGTCTATGCTTTATTATTATGTAATCCAATCTTAAATACATCCCATGGCCCGAAGAGAGAAAAAGGTATAATCTCTA